TCAGTAAAGTGATTCTCGAGTATTGAACGATTCGTTCATGATTCGCGCATCACTATTGCCAACCTAACGTTGCTGCCATGTTCTTTTTTAAAGAGCAGAGACTTTCTCCTGGAAACCATTCACATCAAGCACAACTTGTTCAATCTTTCTCTTGTTGTACTGCCATGAGCTTTGACATTTGGCTCGCTAAATGAGGCATGTAGAGTCTGAGATGTAGCTCTTGGTTTTTTGCAATTTCTCTGACCATTGCATGGTCTAACCTCAGGGTGAATTTATTTGGATTTCATCTCCTGGGAACATTGGCAACTATCTTGAATGTTTTCCACTGTGAATAACTTTAGAACTGAAAGAGGGTTTACCTTTTTTCTATTACTGAAATACAGAAAACATGTTGAGATGATGATGAAAGGATGCCACACTGAGAAGCTGTCAGGACCTGAAAGAGTTTGCCATTAGATGCCAATCCAACAGCAAAGGACAAGACAAGAAGAGCAGGCACTCTGCTTTTTCTAAACCTGTTGCTCAGCTTTAATAAAAGCTGATTGCGGACGGTAATTTCCATCACCCCTTTCTACGAGCACAGGAAGATGAAGTACAGCATTGCCTAACGCCCACTTGTGAAGCTGGGAAACAGACACATAAAGGCTGTGACAGTGAGACAACACTGCTTTTCATTTAAAACAATACATCAAAAATAGTTTTGAAACATGCAAGAAGAGATAATTAATTACATTTTTAAGTGGGCTCTTCAAATGTGTTTCTTTCTTTCTGTTTACTTATCCAGAGTATATAAATAAATACAATCCCAACCGTACCCATAATTTCCCATAAAGAAATTCACCTCAAAGTAGAATTTATGTGCGCCTGTGACAAATGCATCTAGTTCAGCTCAACTCAGTTTCTGTCACAGAAGCAAGTCTGTTTCTGAATGTTTCATGTAATACAGCTGCTTAAAAAGATATCAGATGTTTAATGTTACACTATAAATGCCCAGTGTTGAAACAGCTGTGGATTGAAAAAGGAAAAAACATAAATAGAAAAAATAAACCATGCTGGTTTCTTTCACCATTAATTCGACAGGTTTTTGGTTGAACTGAAGCTCTGATTCAAACCTTTTTGCTTTTCTTGTATTTATTTTCTTTTTTTGGTGGGGAGGGGGTTAAATAACCGGACCAGATATTTTATTTATTATCAAAGCAGGCTCCTTTTAATTTGAATCATTAGCATAAATTGACTCAAAGAGGCCTCCAGAGCTTTTAGCTGCTCTGTTTCAAAGTTCACAATAATGTGCTAATAGATTTTATTCCCCTTCACTTCACAATTATTTTGTTTTTATCGTGATACAATCAGGTATTAAGGGCAAGGAAAACTATTTGGAGGTGTTTTGTAGGTTATGAGGCAATAGTTTTAGTTGAGTAGCCAACTTAAGATTCAATTAGGCAAAATGTGGCCGATGAAAATAAATAAATGTGGACATGTGTGACTAGATCCAAATACAACTTGCATTTGGATGTCTTATATAAACTTAAATAATACCTACTTGATAAACTTAGTTGTCAGTATAGCTACATATCTTAAATCTCAGAGTAAGTGTGAGAAGTTCAGAGAGCTTTGATGGCTTTGTTGGCTGAGAGGTATTACGTGATGTTTTCAGGCCTAATTTCAGTTTTAGTTTAAGTTTTATGGGCAAGGCAGAAAGATATGGAAAAAGCCCAAGACAGGGAAAATGTTGTTGTTGTTCCTAATGATGGTGCTCTTGGCTGTTATTACACTGATTTCAGTGGCCATGCCTTAATGTTAGATTTGATCACAACTTTTAAAACTTGAAGTTTGTGGACAGACGTTTTGAGACCTAGACCTCGGGTACTGCCTTCACCACTGATGTAAAATAAAAAAATAATCCATTGTTGATCCAACACAGTCCTGTGCCAGATAGTAAAATAGCTGTGAAACTTAATCTATTGATTCTACTTATGGTGTTCATGCAGTCAGTCCCAGATATCACATCATGTATTCAGCAAACAAAAGCTGGAATATGACCAAATGGCACTATACTGCCACCTGCAGGATGACAACGAAAGTGTAACTGGCGTAGGAGGATTATAGCCTGCTGTTTTTATAGACTGGAGCATTTTCCACTGTGCAATTTTTAACTGCACCCTCTTAGTTACTTTATTATTGCAGTGTTACAATTATGTGTATTAAAAAATACAGTATAAACACAACTTTATAAATGTGTCCCAGGTCCATATTTATCCACATCTATTTTTACCATGTCTGGAAGAATTCTTACATTTGTCAGTATCCATCTAAACGGAGACCATCTTATGTCTAATGGACTTGAAATATTGAAATTGTGCAAATGTTGTTAGTGCCATGCTTAGTGGAAGTAAGCAGATTTTAGTAAATGGTCAGTGAAAATAAACGGTCTTTTAATTGCTCTTTCACTGTAAAGGAGGAATTAAAGGATAGTTTATTTTCACGTGTGTGTGTGTGTGTGTGTGTGTGTGTGTGTGTGTGTGTGTGTGTGTGTTTGAAGATTACTCATTACAATCTAAGAAAGCACACACTCTAAAATAACAGCCAGTCCTTCTAAGCCAGCAGACAGTGGAGGAGCACAGAGTCCAGTGACAAGCTTGAAGTCAGTAAATACTACAATAATAATATGTAGTTGGTCTCAATCCTGTAACATAACCAACCGGTTTCGGCTTTTTTAAAAAGAGTAGGTTCACACAGCCAGCACAGGAACAAAACAAAGACATGTTGGAACAAAGGTTAGACTGTTCGTGACCTGTCTTTGCTAATGTGACTAAACCAGTCCACTGTTCACTACTTGAAAGACGATCTCCGGTACTTAGGACAGGTTGGTTAACCACAACCCCTCTAAGTCAGGCTCTAATTTATATAATGCGTCGTGGTCCTTGCAAAACCACACGTGACGTGCAGGACTAAACTGTGAACTTGAGATCGAGTCTAAGATGTCTTACAGATCGGGTGCACTGATCAAGTAGGAAAGATGAGGTGCGATGTGGCCATGCGGCCATCAGGAGGGGCTGGAACAAAGCAAGAGGCAGCGCGCTGTGTTCACCACGAGGCCTGAGAGGACTTAGTGGAATAATTTACTCAAAGTTAGCTTTTAAAGGGAGACTATTTCTAAAGCAAACAGTCGAAGCCTTTTAATCATATTGAAATAATTTATTGTGACTTCTATGGCAAAACAAATCTTATTTTCCCTCCGTGTGTACGCTTCAAGCAGTCACACTATCCATCGGAACTGCTAAATATACAGATTTATTTTGCAATTAGACCAAATCTTTCCAAATTTAACGCGCAGACACGGACTTGCCATAAATCTAACGTTGGACGTCCGAAACAAAGAGGTTTATCCCGGACACCCATGACCGCATTTATCCCCGCCCTCCACCGATCAACCCACCAACCATTGGTTGAGCTGGTGCGCTACGCCTTTGTGATTGGTTGACTGTCTCGTCACTTGAAGGTCTGTTGTTCACGCTCGCACCAGCGCAGGAGCTCCAGTGACAGTGGAGTGCTTTGATTCATGCTGTTGTGGAGTCCCCGTCTTTGGACTCAAAGAACAGTTAATGCGGGCAGAAAAGAGCGTATGAAGGTATGGAAGAGGTTTCTACCACTTTGCTTTGGCGGGTTTTAAAGTAAAAACTAAAATGCAAAAGTCCACAGGTGAATCTCTGACAGTCTGAGATTTGCTTGTACGATAAAGGATTTTGGTATTTCTGATTTTTACAGGGGTTAACTTGGGACCTCGTGTTAAGTCATTATGGGGAAAAATATTTATAAATATAGTAGCCAAAATAAGAGGAATCTGAATAATCGCTCATTTTCAGGCTGTAGGGTGTGAGTGCTTCAGTAGTATTGATCTTACCCTAAATCCCAGCTATAGCCATTAATAATCGGTAATTTGATGTTGTTATGAGGTTTGTGGCACTTGGATCTTGAACTGAATGTTACCAATCCAGAAAACAATGACACCCCCTTGTGTTACACAAAGGCCCGGGACGGCAGGTGGATCCTCTGCTACTCCTGAGCAGCCCCAGCGATCATTTAGAAATGCATGGAGCAGACTGAGCACTCTTCCCCACACAGTGAGCAAAGCAGGGAGGACGCTTCCCGCTTTCTTAGCTAATGGCTAATTTTTAACCTGAGAGAAACCAGAGAGATTAAAGAGAGAGAGAGAGCATAAACGCTGGGCTATGTGTGAACTCAAGATGACCACAGTAACTGAGGTGTGTAGTCTCCCTGTGACACTTAGACCACGTTAGATGCTCTGCTTCTATATTGCATGTCTGGCTTGATCTGGATGAGCATAACCTCTGATCTCAACACCATGGATGTATTTGCTTTGGCTTATTACCGGATCAAGCTTTGCTACTCACACAGCCAACCTGCAACAGTTAGAACCACGTCAGCTACAGAGTGGGTTTCAGTAATTTACTCTGGAGTGACGATTCCCATGGTTTGGGTATCCCTGGAATGTGGCAACGATTTTCCATGGAAGCTGATCGAATGACAAATACCCAGTTTTGGCATTAGACTGACTGGAAACAGGTCAAACATACAGCAGACACAAAACTAACATCAAAGTACGTGTGCATGTGTGCGGTTGAGAAAGAGTGAAACCACTTTCACATTATGACAAGTTAGTAGCTGCTGGTTCACACTCGGCTGCTTTGCTGTGAATGTGGTGAGCCACAGAATGCTCTGGAATTCTGGAGGGACAGAGAGTTGTGGCATCGCTGCTACAAGAAAAGCTTTGGAACGTCGTGGCAGCGAGGGGAAGAGGGTGGGTTTCTTTAAAAAAGAAGAGATGAGAAAAGTTGCTTTGATAAATTAAAGGAAATATCAATATCAAACGGTTTAGTGAGTATGAAAATAAAACTCATCACATGATGTGCCGTTTGCAGACAGCAGATCTTGACTCAGTCGAACACCTAAAGACAGAGCCGGGCAATTAATGTTCCCAAAACATGAGAGACTGGGACTGTTGTGGAGGCCACGACAATAAGCTGAACTCAATTCTGCTACTCGTAAGATCAGACGATGCACTTAGTAGACGTAGTGGAAATGGCAGCATTTTATCATTTTTTAATCAACAATGTTTCAAAAACAAGTGTTTTTTTGGCATTTCAGAGATTTGTGACTCATACAAAGTGTTGTTGTTGTTTTGCTTTTAGTTTAATTACTTCATCTGTAGTTTTTCAGTTCTGTTTTGTAGGTTTCTTTAGATTTAGATCTAAAATCTAGTCTGGTTTGGGCTTGAACAAGTGCACTGAAGTCAGGCTCAATGGCTGTGCAGGAAACACGAAGGACAGCTGAGAGAGGATCTGTATGTGCATTTGTTAACCTTAATGAATGAGAATATTTGTTCATGCATGAGGTAGGTCCAAAGTGAAACAACATCTAATGAGATGTCTCCTCATGTGTAGGAAGTCTTTTTTGAAAGAAGAATAAAAATCCAGCAGTGATACTGACTCAAAGTGCTCGAATGAATCGAAAGTGCAACACACTCCATCAGGGCTCTTTCTCTGATTAAATTAACTATTTAAGTTTTAGCATTAATAAAATAAAATCATTTTTTAGTGCTGACATGCAGCATCTGCTGGTGTATAATAAAATGCAAAGAATTCAGTTCTGTGTTCATTTCAGTCAGTTTTTCTTCAAAGGTCTGACATTTTTCTCTGGCAGATTTGGACAATCAGCTGAAACACCTGCCAGTTTGTCCCAGCCAGTCAAAGCACTTACACGTGTCACACACATCACAGCTCTTGCCCCGAGCTTCATCTGAAGCTCCAGATTTCCTGCAATGTCCTTGATCCAGCTTGTTCCAGCTCACTTGAAGAGAGGCCGATTGTCAAATGCAGAGTCCATGAAACACTCTTTGATAAACCACCAGACAATTACGTGTTGTTTTTGCAGTTATATGGGAAATCGTGGAGCTGGTCGCTCCATCCCAGGATGTGTACAGCTTGGTTGTTTTTGCAGCTTTGCAGGTTTAGATGTGTGTTCCCACTCTGCTTTAGTCAAGTTGCATTTCTTTGCCTGTTTAGTCTCATAACGGTGACTCAAATTGTAATCCTGAAATGCAGCAACGGGCTCTTGCATTGTGTTTCAGCAAACACGCTGAGTGTTTGGTGGCTGAAATGGGGCAAACCTCATGATTTATGTTGGAATTTTAATTTCCCATTGACCTCATGTCAGGTCGATCAGGGACAACCAAATGGCCAGATGTGACCCATGAATGTTAAAGTCTGCCTTTACATATGGGCCCCATGAGGAAGACCATGATCATAACCTCCTTCTTCACACATACCTCATCAAACTCTTGTCACACTGAGCAGCTTCAGCGTGATTTAAAGGAGCTGATTTGAAAATGACTTCATCTGCAGTTCAAAAGATGATGTCAGCTGTGTGAGGGGTGTTATGTCTGGCCCCGATGACTGAACAGGGCCCTGCTGATGAATCACAGGATGCAGTCGTTTAGGTGCAGCACGGCGAAGGTCTTACAAGCTTAAAAAAAGATGTTTCAGACTATCACATTAGCCTAACAGTCGTGGGATTTGGACTTAATGTGCAGATATGCTAATGACTTCCTGTTTATAACCCGGAGCACAACTCAGCAAGTCCACAGACCCCGAGTCCCTTTGTATATCAGTTCTGTGTCGCTCCCTGAAAAATGAGAATGAGTAGCTACTATGTGGGCTGATTTACATATAAATCAATTTGTAATACCCAGAAGCAGCCTTGTTTCCTAATTTGATTTCATTCTTTTCTCATCTGCTCCTTTAATGAAATAAAACAGTTTTTAGGAACAATGAGAAATCTTGCTTTCACTCACTCTTTCTGTCTTTAGGAGGAGAAGATGAACGTGGAGGCTCTAAGCAGAGCGGAGCTGCTGACTCTCCTCAGTATCTTGGAGGGGGAGCTAGAGGCCCAGGATGTAGTCATACACGCCCTCAGGGTAAGTTGGCGGCTACATCTGATACAACAGATCCCCCCATGGACTCGTGCTTACTGAAGGAGTTAACATGACGGACCATAATTAACCATTTCCATCCCAGTATCCCAATAAATAAAACAAAATGTGAGACTATCTTTAGTCCATACACCATTTTTAGGGGTGGCTGTAGCTCAGGTGGTAGAGCAGGTCATCTACTGGCCGGAAGGTTGGTGGTTCGATTCCTGGCTTCCCCTAGTCTGCATGTCAAGTATCCTTGGGCAAGATACTAACCCCAAATTGCTCTCCGATGCATCCATCGGAGTATGAATGTGTGTGAATGTTAGCTATAAAGCACTTAGAAAAATGTGCTTGTGCGAATGGGTGTGAATGGGTGAATGCACAAGTTGTGTAAAGTGCTTTGAGTGCTCAGATGAGTAGAAAAGTGCTTTATAAGAACCAGTCCATTTACCATTTGACACTAAAATTAACCTGTTTCAGCTCCCAATAAGAATGTGAGTGAACTGGGAGGGGCTATGTAAACAGGAAGCTGAGGAAAAAGAGCGAGTGAAGACAATGGCACAGGAGCCGTTCTGGGTTCACAGGCTAGACCATCAGAGCACCAGTATTATTGCTGGTCAGTCTGGCCTTTGACCACATTTTCTTTTTAAACTCAAGTCACTTTTGACTCTTGTGTCTCGATTGAGTTCAGACAGACTGCAGTTTATACTGGTGCCACATTAGTTTTAATCTGGGGATTCCCACTGTTGCAAAATGAAAACAAAAGCGGATTACTCTGGTGTGGTTTGTTGCTTCAGGTAAATATTTCAAAGTGAGAGCTGTTTAGCTCGGGCTGATTAGTTGTACATAACTGTCTTTGGAGCACTAAACACAGACTATGAAGATGACTGCAGATTGCATTTTTAGATTGCATACTCTACATAGCATTTAGGCAAAGTTGTGCCAGTCAACACCCAAACATCTTTCAACTTGTGCAACCTGAATCACAAGAGTCCACATCAGAAAAGATTATAAACGTCATTCCAGACAAAACTCCACAACAGCCATGTTTCATCACACATGTCTGATGTTAGAGAACCGTTTATGTTTGGTTTTCTTTTGGATGTTGAGTTTTGTGCAGCTAATTCACTCAGGTTGAATGAATAGCTTTCTTTTTCAACAGTGTTTAGTGTCTGGGCTGATTAGTTCTCTTTGTGCCACTTTTCATACTCCTGGCCACAGCAGCTGTTCCATGCTTAGACCGTGAATGTTTGCCTCATTGTCTGAAATAACGATTAGGCCTGCGATGAGAACAAGTAGCAGTGATGTGATGTATAGGCTTTGATATTGACATTTATCTAAAAAGCAAATTAGAAGCCAGGACCTGAAGGAAAGCCATTCTCACCACACCAGCTCATATGCAGCTTAAAGGGCTGCTAGCTAGAGCTGAAGCATACAGTGTTTGAAACTCAGTGCACATGTTCAACCGTCCCCTCAGGACAAATGCACGCTCGACTTATTCCTTTTTCCAAATCTTTATTCTCTATCTCTTTTCCTCACAACACAACCACATTACGGGGACTTTGATG